TGCATCAATTTTCTTTTTCTCAAACATGATTAAAGTTTCCACTCGTTTGATTCAGCATAGGTTGTGAATCCCACCTGCATAAATATCAAAAGTTAATTCTCAGTCTTTTCATCATTTTGATGCGTGACTAGAACGCAAGAGAGATGTTAGCTTCCTAACAAGTCTACCAGAAGCATCCGAGAAGCTTCAAATCTTCCAGGCAGATCTAAGTGACCCCGACAGCTTTGAGGTGGCTATTAGAGGATGCATTGGAGTCTTTCATGTAGCTACCCCTGTCGATTTTGAAAGCAAGGAACCTGAGGAAGTGGTCGTCCAAAGAGCAATTGATGGAACATTAGGCATCTTGAAGGCTTGCTTGAACTCCATGACTGTAAAGAGAGTAGTGTACACTTCCAGTGGCGCAGCAGTAGTGTTTAATGACAGTGATGTGGACAAAATGGATGAGAGTTATTGGACTGATGTAGAGTATGTTAAGGCCTTAAAATCCTTCGCGGGCCCTTACTTTATTTCCAAGACATTAACGGAAAAGAGAGCTCTCGAATTTGCTGATGAACATGGATTTGATCTTGTGACAATAATCCCTTCTTTTATTAATGGACCTTTCATTTGTTCCAAGTTTCCTGGCTCGGTGCACACGTCGCTGGCTATGGTACTGGGTAAGTTCTGTTCTGCTTGTTCTTCTTAATGGTCCTATGATTTCTTGTGAAGGAACTGTTTCCAATGGATATCATTTCAGGTGAGCAGCAGATATACGGTACTCTTTTGAATATGTCTATGGTGCATGTTGATGATGTGGTCAGGGCACACATTTTCCTCTTCGAACATCCTGATGCGAAAGGGAGAAATATTTGTTCTTCACACACAATAACCATTGAAAAGATGTCTAAATTTCTGTCTTCCAAGTATCCTGAGTTTCCCATACCATCATTGGAGTGAGTACTTTTTAATCTTCCGTTTGTTCTTCTCTTAATCTTGAAAATAAAAGCTAAATGTTAATTACTTCTCCTTAATTGCTGGCAGATCTTTGAAGGAAATCGAAGGCATCAGCCTCGCTGGCCTCTCATCAAAGAAATTACTGGATTTGGGTTTCAAATTTAAGTACGGGCTCGATGAAATGTATGATGGGGCAATTCAAAGCTGCAAAGAAAAGGGTTATCTCTAGTCCAGGTTAAGACAAACTGTTCTGTAATAGAATCACCATAGCATCTGCCCTATCATATCTTCTACTCTTCTAGACAGTTTTCTGATATGGTTTTGTAAAATTCATTGAATATTTTCAGTGGTTTCTGGTGCATCAGAATTCCAAGGCCAACGCCGTGTCACTGAAGTTTGGTGCATGTAAGCTGGTATAGGATCTTACAGGGAAAACTTTCCACTGTAATTACTACATTTACGGGTTAAGTTTCTATCTTTTCCTTCATTATGATTCACGGTAACTACTCTGATTGTCTTATATTTGAAAACGAAAAGAAGTTTTTCTAAATTCGAGTTTAAAATCTACTAAATCAAATAAGACGAAGATGACGACTATAATAATAATAATAATAGTAATAACTCTTTAAATCAATAAGTTTTTAATCCTTAAATATTCAACTGGCTAATTAATTGTTTATAACATGCACCATCTTTTTTTATCAAATAAAACAGTAGTTGTCAGTATTTTCTTATAGTATCTTTAATAGAAAATGCTATATTAAAAAGCTAAATTAGTAAAATAGCTTATTAAATAGTATAAATATAATTTTCTTATTTATGTATATTTTAATGGTAAAAGCTATTTAGAAGAGCCAATTATATTCTAATATATTTTATATTAAATGAATTTTAATATAATTATATAATTAATTTAGATATTTTTTATATAATATAATTATAATGTTATTAATTATATAATTAATATGAGTAATTTATAAATATAAATATAAAATTAATGAAATAATATGAAAGTTAAAAGATATAATTTTAAGTTAAATTTAAAACTTTCAAATTTAAAATTTATTTATATAAATATTTTTAGTTTTTAGTTTTATTTGTTACTATTAAAATAACATTTTTACCTTAAAAAACAGTAGCTGCTATTTATTTTTACCTTTTTCTATAAAAAAAATGTAAAAATAAAATTTTTTATATTCAATAATTATTTTAGCTGATTATTTAGCAAAGTGTTTAAAAATAAATATAAAAACTAAAAGTACAATTTTATTTTTTTTAGCTGGCAGGTTGGAGATGTCCTTAGAATCCTTCGAAAGTGCAGTTAAATCCATCTGTCAATCATTCTATCTCGGTCAGTCAACTGGCTAATTAATACTTGTCTCTCCAATTAAGTAATGCGGTTTTAATCTGATGTTACTTAATTTTACGAGTTAAAATACAAAGCAGAATACGTCTGAAAAAAATGGTATTCTCACTCACAAACCACGGTCGGTGAACAAGCTAATGGTTATTTTTTTTTTAAAGTATTTTTTATTTAAAAAAATATATTAATAATATTTTTTTTATTTTTTAAAATTAACACTTTAAAATAATTGGAAAACATAAAAAACATATTAATTCAAAACAAAACAAAAAAGAATTCAAATTTTTTTAAAAATATTTTTAAAACACAATGCCAAACATTATCTAAGATATTGCATGTTTTTCAATAATCAATGTCACAACTGCCACAATAATCATCAAATTAAATTAAACATCAACTCAATATTATAATATTTAAAAAGTAAATTAAAATACAATACTAACTTAAAATCTCAATAAAAAAATAATGTAAGAATTAAATTAAAAATAAAAAAATTAATAATTAAAAAGTAAAAAGAGTAAAAAATTAAAAAAATACAAAACATTATAAATTATTATTATAATTCATAATATCATAATATTTATGGGTGTGGGTCTAGAAATGTTTTTCCACGCCCATTAGCGTTTATTAATTATAAGAGATTTAATGTTTGCTATTGGATGTGCAAATAAATAATCTGAGCACTCATTTAATGATTTTTTTTCAAAAAGAAAGCCCTTCTCAGTCGAAATATTTAATCTTAGCTATAAAAAGTTCAATCTTTTTATTGTACTAGACACTTTACCTGCAGCGATCTTTGTTTTTCAATATATATATATATATATATATATATTTCTTTTCCAACATATTTTTATACTAAAATAAATTTTAAGTGAAAATAAAAAAAATTATATATACATAATAAATCAAAAACTATGTATTAATAAACTAAAAAAAACCATAAACGATAACTACAAATAAAATTAGAAAAATTAAAAGATATACATAAATCAAGATATTTAATCTTATAAGATATGATATTTACCTTGTTATGTTTGTTAAATTTATTTATTAAAATATTTTTTATTTAATTAAACGATTTACCTTGTTATATTTGTTAAATTTATTTATTAAAATATCTTTTATATAATTAAATAATAATA